TTTTTTTTTCAGTCTTGGGTCTTGAACTCAGGGCCTGGGCTCTGTCCCTGAGCCTCTCTGTGTTCGAGGCTAGTGCTCTACCACTTGAGCCACAGTGCCACTTCTGGCCTTTTCTGTTTATGTGGTACTGAGAAATTGAACCCATGCTAGTGAAGCACTCTACCGCTAAGCCACATTCGGTGTTGCTCAGTGGTAGGGCTGCACTTAATGAGTGTAAGGTCCGGTTTTCAATGCCTAGCGCTGCCAAAACCAAGAGCCCCTTTGCGTCTTAGCATATTACTTAGTTTGTTTTAAAATGGTCATGTAGAAGTGAGAGTTTTAGAATATTGTTATATCATTGAGTAAATGTCTATAATTGAACACTTTTTTTTACCAGCATCTCATAATTCGCCATTGAAAAGACAATTTGGCTTCTACAGTTGGAGATTAGTCCTTTAAAGAAGTAATTGATGCTACATTTGATTATAAAGAAGGATCAGTTTAGTTGGGTTTTTTTGTTTGTTTTTTTTTAATAATAGACGTCCTATGATTCTGGTGAGGGTTCTTTCTCTCTTCAGATGCTATACCAAGGAAAGCCAAGTGAGAACGCAGTGAGAAGAGAGTCATCAGTACAGCAGAAAGAGAGCGCTCTCCCGAAGCACTTCATCTTGTACTTTACATCCTACAGAACTGTGAGAAAATAAATTCAATGGGCATCCTTGGTACAGAACACAGCTGAATTATGATATAGTGTTTTGTAGAATTGTGATTAAATTGTGAATATTCAGAAGTCATTTCTCCCAGTCCCCTAGTGGGGCTTCTTTGAGAAATGTATCATTGCCTTTTCTTCTTCCCACGTTATAGGCATGTACTCTACTTGTTGAGCTACTTAACCAGCCCTTTCTATATTTGTTAGTTTTTGAGATAGGGTCTTGTTTTAAGCCCCTGCTGTCCTACAAATCAATCTTCCTATTAGTGCTTCTCCGCATAACTGAATGGCAGGTGTACATCACCACACATAGCCATTGGTGAAGATGGAGTAGCATGAACATTTTCTCCAGTTGGTCTTGTCCTGATCTCTGCCTCCCAAGTAGCAAGGATTAAGTTACCCTATCCAGCTATGCAAATGAACTTCAGATTTTGGAGATAAAGCTGAGATAGGGTAGACATAAAAGGAACAATCAAGCAAAAGAAATTGAAGAGTTAGTGTTGTGTCATGTTTGAATATATTTTGTGTGGCATCCTGCATCATCATTACTCTATTGCAATGACTGACATCTGCTTGGCCAGTAGTCCCCCAAACAGGAAGCAAACATTAGGCAGAAGCCTCATCCAATGCATTTATTATAATTACTGTTTCATACATACATGTCTCCTCAAGTCACCATCCTAGGTTCTGAAGACTCCTTGTTAGGTTAACCATTCCTTGTCCCTTAGTTCTTGGAAATGTCTTCCCATTTTTCAAAAATCTTCACAATTCTGTGGGACAATCATTAAACCTTGCCCAGAATAGTGCCAAATACCCAGCGGTCAGAGATTTGGTTGTTTGGTTGGGCTGTCTTCTTCCTGCTTTCCTTCAATAATCTCACCTTTCCATTTCTTCCCTAGACACTTTTGTGCACTCACCTCGCAATTTCTCTTTAGCAAGACCACTGTTTACACCTCAGACGACCACAGCAGGACATGCTTGTGGAGTTATCCCATCTGGTGAGGTCACTGCCTTTCTTAGAAACCAATCCCAGCTGTCTTGCTTTACCAGCCTTGTGCTGACACTTTGTCCTCTCTCCCCTCTCCTCTTTCTACTCTCCCCTCTCTCTCCCTCTATATCAAGAATAAACTGTCATATTATTTTATGTTTTTTGCAATTAGAAGATTTCCATAATACAATAAGGGGTCATGTAGCTGGGATATTGATGTTAGGCCTTTCCAATTTCCTCAATTCAATCTCCATGCAACAATGCAAATCCATCCATGCCAGTCTTCTGAAGCTTCCATGTTAGGTTTACTGTTAAATTTTGAACTTGGTTCTTGACTTCCTCTAGGCCTTTTCTAGACCTCAATCTGCCTTGACTTTGTATCTGCCAATTATCTCATACTTACTTTGCTACTGTTTCCATGGTGGTAAGGAGGGAGCTGTGTGATTATTTTTGCTGTGCGGCAATCATAAAATTCTCTGCAGGGCAACTCCTGATTTGAACTAGACATTTGAATTTTTTTTCAATCATTTTATTTCCTGTTAAAAGATACAAGGGACAATGATTTCCTCTCATGGGCTTGTCATCGGGTGCTGGTGGGTCACACCTATAATCCTAGCTACTCAGGAGGCTGAGATCTGAGGATTGTGGTTCAAAGCCAGCCTGGGCAGAAAAGTTTGTGAGACTCCTATCTCCAATAAACCACAGAAAACTGGAAGTGGCGCTATGGCTCAAGTGGTAGAGCACTAGCCTTGAGCTGAAGAGCTGAGGGACAGCACACAGGCCCAGAGTTCAAACCCCAAGACCGACAAAAAAAAATGTGGCACCACCCTAGTTAGTTTGACATGGATCTTACTGTAAATTCCAAGGGATCCAAGCCTACCAAAGACCAGGTGTAAAGTTCTCAAAGGCCAAATTCATCTGGCAGAGATCCATTTCCAAGGGATATTCTGAGACTTTAGGATATTGTGGATAAAGATAGATGGTAAATCCAGGGGAATTCACTCCAAAGTGATAATGGACATCATCCCAGGAAGATTTGGCACCCTAGAGAAGCAACCACTGGATCAGAATATGGATTCTGGATTGGTAGATCGGGCAGGATCATCAAGCATTGTTCCCTCACAATAACAAGAACTAGCGAGAATGATGTGGAATCAGGGTTCTAGACTCTCCTTTATTTGATTTCAGGTTTATTCCAACAAGAAGGTGTCAGTCCACTCTACTGGCTTCCTGCCCTTTGCTTTGTCTCTTACAGAGACACTGGCATGGGATGAATTCTCAATGATTGGATACAACTATCAATAGAATCTTTTGAAAGAAAGATTTGGATACACTTGTATAATGTTGCTTAGCCTCAGTACATTCTGAAGAATGGAGAACTCTAGTTTAAAAGTGGAAGTCTAAATTAATATTATGGTCTGAAATGTCTTATGTTCTAATGTCCTAATCCTTATAAAATTAAGACTTACAAAGCTCATGCCTGTGATCCTGTGATCTGAAGATCCCAATTGAAAGCCAGCCCAGTCTATGAAACTCTTATCTCCAATTAACCACCAAAAAAAGCTGGAAGTGGAGCTGTGACTTAAGTGATACAGCATTAGCCTTAAGGGGAAAAAAAAGCTCAAGGACACTACCTAGGCCATAATTTCAAGCTCAGCACTGACTCACATACACACACACACATACACATACACACACACACACACACACATTCACACACAATTAAGAGGCACATTGTGTACAAGACCTTTGTGTTGTAAATGAATCTGTCATCCTCTATCCTGTCCTGCCTTATCCTATAAAATCCTTACCCAAATGTCAACTAATTCCAACTTGTTTATGTTCTATATTTAGAGAATGCTATGTTTTATAAGCTTTACCTCTGAATCTACAATCTTCATTTGCTTCTAAAGGATGGAGCTGATTCTAAAGTCACCCTGCAACTAACTTGGACCATCTTTTTCCCAAAGATTTTGAAACAGTCCCTACATCTTTGGTAATGACTTGGCAATGGAATTTATGGACCTAAACTAAATAGTGGGAGTTTTCAAGAGCTAATGACGTTATTGCTTGTTACTCCCTCCCCTCAGCACCCCACACAAACCAGGAAAACAAAAACAAAAACAGAAAGCAGACCTCCCAGGTAATATTATTTCAATTATAAGCTGTTTGGTAACCATGGAAGATGAAATCATTAGACAGCAAGTCTGCTATGTGGGTTACATAAAGACTTTAGGCAAAATCAAGTTCAAGGAAAGAGATCTTAAAATTTTCAACACCCCCAACAAAGATATAATTAAAAATGTTTCTGGGCTTGATAATTCCAAACTTCGGAGTTATACCCAAACTTCCTTAGCAAGTTGCAGAGATAAGGGAAAACAAGCGCTCCTACTATGAGACCCAATACAATATTTTTAAATTAATGGGACTTTTGAACTCTGTCCCTGCCTCAACTGCCAGGCCAAAAATCGTGTCTGCTTATTGGTTGCAAATGAAGATGTTGATGATGATAAACAATAAGGAATTGGATTGTATATACTTATCCAGAAATTGTGTAGGAGTGAAATCCCTTGTTCCATGGCTTACTTTTGATAACAACTAGACTTAGTGGTACAAAATTCTCTAGATGCTTAAAGATTATTGTGCCATTGCCTTAAAGGTTAACTTTGGAACAAATGTTAGAAACTTAACCTCTTTATAGCCAAGGGTTATTAGTGAATGAGTCCATGTAAACTATCAGACACTACAGTTGGACACTCCAGGTATATCCAGCTACTCTCCTGCTAAAATCCAGCCACTCTACTGCCCTCTACCAAATGAAGTTGTACCAACTCACTCCTGTGTAGAAACTACAAAATGTGCACTGCAGCAGGCCAGACCTAAAGGACAAACTTTTGCAAAACCCAGATTTAATCTGATAGGAGTAGCATCATAAAAGAAGGTCAAAGAAAACTGCAGGATAACAGTGGTTGATGCTGATCAAACTATAGGATTGGGACCTTTTATTATTATTATTATTATTATTATTATTATTGGTCATGGAGCTTGAACTCTGGACATGGGCACTGTCCCTGTGCTCTTCAGATCAAGGCAAGTGCTCTACAGCTTGAGCCACAATGCCACTTCAGGTTTCCTAGCAGTTTATTGGAGATAAGAGTCTCACAGATTTTGCTGCCTGAGCTGGCTATGAACTGTGATCCTCAGATCTCAGCCTCCTACGTAGCTAGGATTACAGGTGTGAGCCACCGGCGCCTGGCCAGAATTGGGACTTTTATCAGGAACTTCTGACCCAAAGGCATTACTCAGGCTCTCAAAATTGGAAAGACATAGAAAGGTTTATGCTTACACTAACCATAATATGGCTTCATCACTGTTAAATGCCCTTGTGGCCCCAAAAATTTGGATTTACTTCAGGACATCCAAGATCCTAAAGAAGCATCAGTTATCTAATACCCATGATATCCGAGAGGAAACTCAGATAATAGAGGGAAACTTGACATCCAACAGACCTGGCACAATAGCAGCTCTTTCCTAAATCTAGGAACAAGTAAATGGCACTTTTCCTCTCTAGTTTGGGTTTGCCTTTAATGATCAGGAATATGACCTGGCTTGAAAACAAGGATCACTTATGAATCCCACTGAGTGTCTAGAGAGGGACAAGCCCCTCTTACTTCCTCAGTAGCTGCAAGGGAGCATTATGGAGGGCATGAATGTGAATGATGTCTGTCATGGGGGCTCCGCTGCCCTCTTACAATTAACTGGAAGATTCATCTCTGGACAGTGTATCAAAGATCCATCAAACAGTCGATGTGTATCTTTATTTGACACAAATACTATAGAACGGTCTTCTAAAATTTTTCCCTATCGCAACCTGTATTGAGAAGAGGAATCTTTCCTAGAGAAGACTGACAATTGGATTTTACTTGGGACCCAACTTATCACAGATATGAATTTTTTTTTCTATTGGCACCCTCCGGGAAAGGTCAAAGCCTTCCTGATCTTTACTGCAAAAACTCTGGGAAAGGTTAAATGGTCCCTCAAATAAATGGTACCTAGATTTTGGCTCCAAAATAAATCCTAAAGAGAGACAAATTGCCTACCGTTACACCTAAGGTCAGTGGTCCAACTGCTCAGGATAATGGTTTACTCTGATATACTCAACCTTAAGGTCTATATAACGTGGAAAGATTTTTAAAAAAGTTCTAAAAATTTTGCAGATACCTTAAACTATTCTAGGAAAGCTTGACATAGACCTCTGTTTCACATACCATTTCCTCAGGACAGATACAACCAGCAATTCAACAATCAGGTAACCACCACCAAATCCTTACACCAACAAATTTCTAGTTGAGCTTAGAGATGTGATCTTTGTCAAAGTTACACAGGGTCAAATACTTGGAACTATGACCTATGTGAGAGAGGGCACATCCGGTAACATTGAACACCCCAGCAACTGTTACCTACTCAGCTGGGTTCATTTGCCTTGGGTCAAACTATACTTTCCAGTGCCAAATCCTGGAGAGGACAAACATACCACTTCCTGGATCTAAGAGTCAGCCAGAGACTTCAAGCTGTTCTTTGAAACACAGTCCCTAACTTTCACCACAGATAAATGAAATGTAAAAAGGCTGTATTATATTTTTCTTAAACTCCAGTATAATTTTGCTTCTTATCTACAGCTTTGTCCATCTATGCTTACACCCCAAGGGATTAAATTGTGTTTCATATTCCATTCTTAGCAACCAGACTTCATAAACCATGAATGGGCCTCCTGTCCTTTGGCTTATTTATATATGCCTTTGTTTTTAAACATCTTTTGCTCCATCTAGTAGAGCATGCTATTCTTTCCTAAGCAGAGCACCATTTAATGCCCTTGTTGGATCTCTGTGGGTCTCATTCAGACACAACATAGGTGGCTATTCTAGCATTGGCGTGGAGTTGTGCTCTAATCTCTCTCCACAGTGACTCTGAACTTGGATTTGAGCTTGAATCTGGTCCCAATCTTTAGCAAAGAATTGTATCAAAGGGGCTTAATGCATTGTCATGAGAAATTTAGACTAAAGTTCCCTAAGCTAAAACCCTAAATCCTTATACTAATGGATCCGCAGGTCCATCTCTTCTGTAATTAGACAAGGTAGCAAATCACCCTTTCCTTTCTGTGCCTGAAATCAAACAAAACTGAAGGAAGGACTTAATGGTGTCCAATTCATCATCAATATACAATATTCCTTAATGTTGAATGATTCCCGTATCACGACGTAAGGTCTTTCATACTCTTAAACAAGGTCCGTTATGACTTACGTTGTATCTGGTTTCTGTGATAGGTAAATGGCAATAGGCTATGCTTCAACTTACCCTTGTCTATGAGCTAGAAATGATGGTCCATTGCCACATCTTCTGCATAATCAACACTATGTCCTCCAGTGGGAATGTCTTTTGGGTCAGCAACTACTCTTCATCAATTGCTCTGGCAACTGGGATATCATTGCGCTCTGAGTTAAAATTACTATTAAATTTTCTTCCTCATTCCCCATGGCCAAGAAATCCCTTTCTTCCATGGGGAAAAAATAGTAATTAACACTTCTCCTTCAATGATTAAGAATCTATTCGTTGACACACTTGTTTCTTCCTCTTTTCCTGATTGTGAGAGACATCTCTGCTTCCCTTTTTGTGACTTGACCATTTTTTTGGTACCCCAATATCAAGATTGAAATGCCTAGTTGGTCCCACTCTACTTAGTATTGCCTTGGGAATTAGAGGTGAATTTGTTTGGAAGTGGTAGAAACTGTTTCAGCATCGCAGCTGCATTCTAATTGCTCAAAGGAAGCAAGCTCCAGGGAACTGCCAAGGCTCTGTTTTCTTTACAAGACCAAATCAATTCCTCGGCAGAAGTTGTCCTTCAAAACCTCGAAGCCCTGGACATGCTCACAGCAGGTAATGTAATAGTTGTCCTGATAGCTGCTTCTATGTTAACAAATATGACATATTCTAAGATGACAAAAAAGTCAACTAGACCAAGCACCTCACCTGAAAAAAAGAAACAAAAAGAAACAAATAAACCAAAACACAGGCTTCTGAAAGAGTTGTCATCTCTAGAATAGTTCTGGAAGAGCCTTAAATGGTTTCTCCTTCTGGTGGGCACCCTAATATCAATATTTGGAACATTGATTTTTTGGCCTTGTTTACATCTTCCTGTGTTGAATTAATATCCTAAGATTCCAACAACCTTCCCCCATCAATTCCTCTGTTAGCGCCTCCAGAGGAACAGTTATCAGGCTATATAGTCAACAAACTAAGTTGTGACATGTTCATCTGGCTTCACCACACCAAATTATTTAACAAGGACGATAGACTTCAAGGGAAGGGCACATGTAATTTTCAGCTCAATGAAGTTATAGAAGAAGCTTTCCTACATTTTTCCCCTTCTCAACTAATAAGGGTCCATAATCATGGACAGTAGCTGAATACCATCTATTCTGTTCCACCATTGTCCTGGATAATAGTTGACCACAATTTAGTCTAGTTGATGGTACACTGGTCAACAGCCTTCCAACAGGAACTTTCCCCACTCCAAATGTTAGCCAAAGGCCCCATCTACCACATCACATTGCAATAGTAATCACATATGGTTTGAATATAGGCAGTTTGTGCAAAAACCCTCATGTTAAAGCCTTGGTCTCGCGGATGTTGCTATTGGAGATGCTGTAGACCTTAAAGAAGTAAGGCCTTCTAGGAATTACTGGCATAGTTCATTGAGAGCATGCCCACAGGAAAAATTATGGCATCCTGATCTATCATCTCTCATCTGCTTCCTGGCTTGTAGGGTGAGTGATTTGTTTTTATGCACTTTTTATGTGATATACTGCCCATGCCAGAAGCACAATACAGATTTGATCTTGGGCTAGAACTTCCCAAACAATTAGCCAAAATAAATGTTTGCTCCTTATAAGTTAATTGCTTCAGGTATTTTATTGTATCACTGGAAAGCTAACTAACCTCCCTTACTGACAGTCCTGCAAAAATATGTTGTAATAATACTAACTTCCCAAAAAATACTTGGTAGGCATAGCTAATTATCATTACACCATATATTTTATTCACATAGTTAAACCATTCCACTCTGCACAAGGTAAATATACTCATTACCAAAGGTTAATAGGTAATAGATTATCTATTAGCAAAGGTTAATAGATATAAGTGTTTATGCTTTCCATAGAGAAAGAACTATTTATTCTAATCATAGATGAATAGTGTTTGTAATAGACCATACTGACAAACTACTCTATATATTTCAGTTAGTGTTCTTTCAACTCTAAGTAGAAGTATATTTCTACTTCCAGGAAAAGTCAATTAAATGTATCTTATTGATTGTTCTATTGTAAACCATGTGGACCAGATGGCATAAGTATAAGATGTAAGAGATTTACACAAAATTCTCGGACTTTACATTATTCCCTATGATTTTGCTTTTGTTTGATCCCCCCAATTTTAAACATTACTGAAGAACATGTTATAGGCATTAGTTTTAATTTTGTCATCATTTACTAGAATAAAATAGACTCTAATATGATAGCACACTAATCCCCACATCTCCAAATTAATCCATATTTCCGAATCTCAGTGGTTTAACAAAGTTAGAATTTATTTTTAATCATATAATGTCCACATAAAATACAGCCATAGATAAATGATTATGCTTACAATCCTAGCTACTCAGGAGGCTGAGATCTAGAGGAACTTAATTCAAAGCTATCCCAGGCAGAAAACTCTGCTAGACCCCATATCCAAAACAATCAACAGAAAATCAGGGGCAGAGCCATGGCTATACTGGTTCAGTACCTGCTGGGCAAGAAAACCAAACAAGAATGAGTTCAAACACAGTACTGCCAACCCTTCTCTTTTAAAGATACAACCTCAGAATATTGTAAGAATAATGGCTACACCCAAAATCACAATACAGACTTTCCCTCACTGAAACTCATCAGGCTTACACCACCAAAATAAAACTCCCAAGTAGTCAGTATGACTTGTGTTTTTGAGTGGTTGGAATAGAAATATGGCAATTTTAACCAAATACATGGTAGATGTTTGATTAGTCAGGACTCTTCTATCACAGAGGAAACAACTTGCATTAATAGCTACAGACATTTCTTGTGTGTGTTTCAGTATTATCATTGATAGACTTATTCAGTACTTTATAATAATCCACCCAGTATCAAAGGAATTAGTAGTACAACTAAAAAAATATCAATAGGATAATTTTCATAGTTTCTGTTGGTCTATTTCAGACTCTAAAACTAAGAGTTAACCTCACAGAATGATGAATTGAACAATTATTGAGGGTTGAATTACTCTCCTTTTGGATGGAATATTATCATCAAAACTGTGATTTAAAATTTGGTGTATTATCTATACCATCAATATTAATATATAGTGTTTTTTCATCTGTAAGTCAAAACACATAGATCTAGGCAGAAAGGGAAGAATAGATGTCATAAATCGATGCTTTGTAACTGTTATAGGTTTAACTTTATCCCCCTCAAAAGGTAATCAACTCCTACCCCTTTAGTTCGTGCGAATGTCCTTGTTTAAATTATGGACTTAGCGCTGGCCCTGGTGGCTCACGCCTGTAATCTTAGCTACTCAGGATTCTGAGATCTGAGGATCATGGTTCAAAGTCAACCAGGGCAGGAAAAGTCCTTGAGACTCTTATCTCCAATAAACCTTCCAGAAAATTGGAAGTGGTGCTGTAGCTCAGTGGTAGAGTGCTCGCCTTGAGCTGAAGAGCTAAAGGATAGCACCCAGGCCCAGAGTTCAAGCCCCATGACTGACAAAAAAAAAAAAAAAAACAAAAAGTATGGACTTAGCCAGGCACTGGTGGCTCATGCCTGTACTCCTAGCTACTCAGGAGGCTGAGATTTAAGAATTATGGTTCAAAGCCAGCCTGGCAGGAAAGTCTGTAAGACTCCTATCTCCAATTTACCACCAGAAAACTGGAAGTGGCACTGTGGCTCAAAGTGGTAGAGCAAAAGAGTTCAAGGACAGCATCCAGGCTCTGTGAGTTCAAACTCCCAACCCATAAAACAATACATAGGGACTTGCCATCTGACCAAATTGGAGAAGGCCATTAAGTAGACACTAATCCACTATGAGCAGTAGGCTTATTAAGAAGATAAAATTGGACATAAAGTTATAGAAACAAAAGAATGATGACATGAGAGTGGAGTAAGTAATCAAATTATGAGGGTTCTAGCCTCTTCACCAATGATGGACTTATAGGTTCATAGATTGGAGGAAAGATTTGTTATAGAGGTAAGATCACTTGTATTGTTTCTTGACCTTCATGATTAAGCAACTTTGCAGTATGACACATTTTCACCATGATGTGCTACTGTTTCACTGCAGGTTCAAAATTTTTACTGAAACCTCTCAAAGCATAAACCAAAATAAAACATTCTTCTTTAGTTAATTTTTGGAGGTATTCTGTCACAGTAGTAGGTAACTTACTAAAACAAGAAAACTGGTATTAGGAATGGGGCTCTTTCTGTGACTATTTTTGATGTAGTTCAGAGATTTTTGGAATTGTTTGGAGAAACAGGCTAGAAAAGTTCTAGGACATTGTAAGCAAGGGAGATTCTAGACAAAGCTCAGGTAAGAATGCTCAGAGAAATGCAGATAGTCTGCTCATGAGATTTCAGCTAGAAGTGAAGACTGTGTTTGGAATTAATAAGGGGCCATTCATTGTATATTTGGAAAAGAATGAATCTATATTTTGTACATGCCCCAAGACTTTGTGGGAAGTAGATTATAAAAGTACAGACTAATTAAACTATTGAAAGAAATTTCACAGTGGTATGGTAAGAATTAAGAGCAAAAGCAAAGAGTAATCAATCTTTCCAGAAAACAAAATATTTATAAAATTGAAGGCAAAGGTAGGTGTGGCTAGTAAAGACATTAACACAAATAAAGAGAATCTAAACAATCTGTACCTGGACAATAAGAATAATGATTGGGGAGAGAGTAGATATAGCAACACTCCATATATTGTAATTATTGACTAATAATGTATACAGAGACAGAACCCAGGCCCTGAGTTCAAGCCCCACAACCAACCAAAAGAAAAAAAAATACGCATATGCCCTTCTTTCCATATATATCATCTAAAGACATTCATTTAATAATATAATACAAATAACTATGCATAACTGCCCCTCCTAATCACAATATCCAACAGCAAAGATCAAGGCTGCTGGTTCCCAATTCCCTGAAGGCACCTGGGAATCATTGAGACCCAAATCCTCTTGGGCTCAAAGGTGTACAAGTATAAGACTTTCATTTAAGACAGAATCCCTGTGTGTCTTCCTCCCATAGACCACACAAGAAGTCACTTTCACAAGATTAATTTCCTCCAATTCAGTCATCAAAACATTCAGACTCCACTGCAGCTGACATCCTGCTTAAAACAAAAGTAGTACCATCCATGTGTACTAACTTTACAGGCATGGAAAAGACAAGAGTTATGAAGTCATCTACCAAGGTTTGTTTGCTTGTTTGTTTTTGTATTTTTGTCATACATGGGGCTTGAACTCTGGGCTTGGGCGCTGCCCCTGAGCTCTTCAGCTAAAGGGTAGCACTCTACCACTTGAGCCACAGCGCCACTTCTGGTTTTTTCTGTTTATGTGGTGCTGAAGAATTGAACCCAGAACCTCATGCATGCAAGGCAAGCAGTCTACCACTGAGCCACCTTCCCAGCCCCTCTACCAAGATTTTAAAGCCTGCTATATGTAGCATGTTCAGATTCCTTGCGAATGGCCCCTTTTGCAGTGGTATGTGAAGCTATGAAAATAATACAGTGGGTCCCCAAAGACCTGAGAGCTATCAGAAACATGGAAGGAGGGAATCTGCAGGCAGTAAGCAAGCTGGCCTCAGAGAGTGACCGTATGAGCAGAGTGTCCATCATGGCATCATGAGCCCTAGATGTCTGATATGGAACTACAGGATTTAAAGTTTGCCCTGAGGTTAGTTTTTCTTTTAGATTTCTCCTTGCTTTTTTTCTTATGCTTCCCTTTTGGAAACTTTTGTTTTTCTTTACCATGAAATGAACTGAACCCAGCCAGTCCTTGGCCATGCAAAGGAAGTGCTCTATCCCTAAGCTACATCCCCAGTCCTTTTTCCTTCCTTTCAGAATAGGAATAGCCATGTGATATTACAGATTGGAAGGGTATAACTCATTCTTTTGATTTTTACAAAAGCTCGAGGTAACAATTTACTTCCTCAGAGGAGCCTTTGGACTGGAACTGGTACCACTGCAGGAATTCTTCGAGGAGGACTGGAAGCATTTTGTATTGTACTATGGACATGAGTTTCTGGAGCTCAGGGGTAGAGAATAATAGTTCACATTTAATATGAAAGCTATGCTGTGAACTTGGTCCCTAAGGTGATATCATTCAAGTGTAGAGCTTTGGGGAGGTGTTTTAATTATGAGGGCTCTCACTTCAGAATTGGATTTACCTCTTAGCATATTCATTGCTTCACTGGTTTGGGAGGAGTGCTTTGTTATAACAGGAAGTTTTTGTCCTTTTGCTTCTGGGGTGCCAGGGCTTGTCACCTTGAGCTCCTCTCTCATCACAAGCCTTGGAACAGTGAGGACAAGCAACCATGGGATAGAAGGGCCTGAAACTATGAGACAAAATAATCTTCCCCTTTTGAGTTGATTTTCTCAAGTATTCTTTCAAAGTGCGAGAAAGCTGACTCATTCCTTCTTTCCTTTACGTGGCAGGAATTTGTCATTATTAATCATAGATACAGAATACTGATTAGGCTACTCATAATATTTTGACAGTGCAATATTTAAATAGATCACTGAAGCAACAAAGAGGATATTAAACTCCATGAAGAGAAAATAGCTATCATGAAGAGCATTACTGTGTACCTTACCACAGAATTAGCAGTAAGTGAATAAGGTACAGGGTTTATTTATTTTTATTGTCAGAAACTCCCTACAACTCTTTTATTTTTTCCGGTTGTGGGGCTTGAACTCTGGGCCTGGGTACTGTCCCTCAACTCTTCAGCTCAAGGCTAGAGCTCTACCACTTGAGCCGCAGTGCTACTTCCTGTTTTCTAGTGGTTAACTGGAGATCAGTCTCATGGACTATCCTGCTGGGTCTGCCTTTGGACCATGATCCTCAGATCTCAACTTCCCAAGTAGATAGAATTACAGGTATGAGCCATTGGCTCCTGGCTATGCCTGCAACTCTTATAGCACAAATCTCAACTGCGATTTAACTTTAAAAGACCATATCAGTGTAGTATTTTGAGCTTTGTAGTAAAGGAAACTTAAGAAGGCACAGGTACATAAATAATAAAAGATAGTTAGAAGATGTAAAAGAAACTAGGTGTCGGTGGTTCAAGCCTGTAATACTAGCTGCATCAGGAGGCTGATTTGAGGATCGTGGTTTAAAGCCAGCCCAGGAAGGAACAGTCCATGAGATGTTTAACTCTGATTAACTACCAAAAAGCTGAAAATGGAACTGTAGCTCAAGTGGTAGAGAACTAGCCTTGAGCAGAAAGCTCAGGGACAGCACTCAGAACCTGAGTTCAAGCTCCAGGCGATTTCACACACACACACACACACACACAATGAAAAAGGGAACAACAACAAAATATAGATCAATAATTTTGCAGAGTAGACTACATTCACCCAAAAGGGAAGTCTAGATAAGTCCAAATTAGCCAAACTAAAGTAGATATCCTCTCTCCCATTTCCCTTTTCACCAAAAGCCCTATGAGAATGATTAAATAAGTAGAATGAATACACAAAACATATACACACATGCACACAAATCTTCTCTCTAACACAAATACATATATCATATATTACATATCATATGCATGTCTGGAATGCCAGTTAATATATCTGAACAATTTTGCCTTATTGTTATAATGCAGATGAAACATGTGTTTCCTTAAATCTTTCAAAAAATAAGTCTATAATTGTTTTTTTTTCTTGAAAAAAATGGATAATATGGATAATACAAAAGATACTACAAATAAAGTTTGCAAACTCTAATTATATCTCAAATTTGAAATCTTACATATCTTGGGAGCTAGAGGATGTAGCTCAGTGGTATAATACTACACCAAGTCTGTTCAAACCCCAGCACTAAACTAAAACCCAAAAACAAACTCAAACAACTCAAACAAAAATATCTGCACATCCAAGCATCTCAGCTGTGTCTAAATGTCTTCTTTTGCAAACTAGAGATGATTTTCAATTTAATTAAGCAACCAAAAATATAAATGACCATCATAGAGCCATGTATTCTTTACATGGTATACCATGCAGAATTCACCCACTCTAGCAGTCTTATGTAACATATGCAATTCTTCACGTACTAGACATGTATGTACACATAAGGTATACATATAATATGCAGTCCCATGTAATTTTTACTTCTGTTTAGAGTCAGTCAAACTGTAATGATCTCTTCACAAAGAAAGGCCTAGTAAATTCTTTTGACTAGGAGCATGGCAACTGCTTCTTCTTTCACTTCTCCAAAAATACTAGTTATCAGAAAATATTCCATAAGCCTAATGAACTAGATAGCAAGTTAGGACATGTAGTTGCGCATAGGTTTAGTCGTAAGTGGTTGATTGTTGAAAACTTGTAACTGTTGCTCTTTAATGTCAGTTCAGCCAGTAATGTTTTATCGTTGAAATTAGAATTTGAAAACAGCACCTTCATCCCGGTCAGTAATTAATAAAAACTTAAAATTTTACTAAACTGAAAAAAATCGTCTTTGAAAAGTTTAGAGTTTTAAACAGCCCAAGTGTTTGTAATTCAGTTATTGCCTGGTGCCAATTCTCGAGGATACAACACATGAAAGCATTCTCAACCATGTACATATTTAAGTTTTTGTACCCAAAGCTTTGATCCTCCTTATACATTTTTTTTTCTGATGAAACTCAGTATGTTGCCTTGATCTGGGTGTGGGAACATAAAGGACAGGAAAAGCAAAGATAAGGTGCAAAGAATTCGTGCCACCACTTTAGGGGGGGGGTGGAAATCCTCGGTACACAATGATCCTCACTACAAAATAACATTTCAGCTATTTGTATTCCGAGGTTAGAAAACGACATCTGCTTAACTGCCCGGCAAACCTACGTTATCCTGAAACAGCTCGTTTGTCAATGCGGGACAAGCAAACCAAGCTCAAAGTCCAGAAATTGCAAAAGGAATGTTGGTTGCAGGGGGCAGGGGCACCAGGTTGGGGGACTGACTTTGCTTCCCTACTTACATTCCGGAATGAGCTCATACTTTATCTTCGAACTGGGAATCTCGGTTGCTTCTGTGTCGGGGAGAGGAAGTGGCTTGCGAAGGTAGATGGCCAAGCTCTTTCATTGATACTTTCTGTCACCCCTGATCTTGCATCAGTCCTGCAGGCAACTCAGGACTTTCAAAACAGACCTACCACCATTACACAGCCTTGTTCGACCCACAGCTGCTTCCAGTGGGTCAGTGGCTGTGGGGATAGAAGGGGAACTTTCTAGGAGGTTCAGCCTGGAGAAGAAAATGGAAAATCCTGCCAACTAGAGCACGTCGTTGGTTTGGTGATTCAGGAGGAGAGGGGAGAAGGTCGACAGAGTGCCTTGGATTACTCACAGTTTGCCTCTGAGACTGGAAGCATGAGGGCCAGGCACGCCAGCAGCACCCCGCAGTGCCCACCCAGGACCCTCATTTCACAGGGGGCAGAGGAGCCGGCGGGGGCGGTGATCCAGACCTGTGCTCTCCGCGGCGTTGCAGCCAGCCCGGGCTCGGCGCTCCCAGCACTGAGCCCCAGCGACGCTCCGGGGCAGCCTGAGCTCTGGCCAGCAGCCCGGGGAGGGGACCGCCCGCTCGCAGCTCCCGGCTCCCAGCTCCCAGCCCCCAGCCGGCGAGGGGAAGTGATAACGAGGACATTTCCAGGAAGCTTTTTTGGAGCTGGGGGAAGGGCTCAGAGAGAGAAAGCAGAGGGGTGCCCGCACAGGCGGCGTAAATACTTTCCCAGAAAGGTTCCCCCTTACTGGTTCCCCTAGGCCCTGCGTTTTCCTGGCTGTCTTTGGAACAAGAAGTTTCCAAAGGGGGAGGGGACACGGTGGAAACCTCCTGGGAGCCGGGGTGCAGGACCGAGTGTGAGCAGACCTTTAAAGGCCTGTGAGGATCGGAGCTCCAGGCTTAGAAAAAGAAATCCCGATGGACTGTTTGGGCCATGAGGATAACAACCTAAACCTTGATGACAATGACTTACAAGCAGGGCAGAGATGAGAAAGATTGGAATAAAGGAGGATGGTTTTGGTCTGCACTTTTTGTACTTGTGCTTATTGTGTACACTATCATCAACAACAAAAAACATGTTTTGGCACAAAGAGAATATTTCAGATTATATCATCTTCATGCAGCTGCCTCTTACTAGTTGCAAATTGTTTAGCTTTTCAAAGCTTTGGTCTTATCATCTGCAAATAGTTTTGTGGTGAGGGATTTCAATAAATAACAGAACAACTGATTAGTCTGTGTTCAAGAGTAGTATTGATTGCATATTTACTATTATGCATTCTCTGTCCAAATTGAATGCAAATTGATTTTCTATGTGTGTGAGTGAAATTCAATAGGGAGACCATATGTGATGGATTTCCAGCTCTAGCTTTTTATGACTGTAATTATCCAGCTGGATGGAAGGTGATTCATATTAAAGTGCACTGCTTTCTGATGAGTAAATCAGCTGGGAAATTCTCTTGCATTCGGCATGTAGTCCATTTTTTCTTGTTCTCTTTCTAGCCTAACAATGCAGATAGACTATCAAGGAAAAAAAAGTCTATTCATATACCTAGGCAGAGGAGTTTTACAAAAATATGAGATGTGAAGAGGTGGCTAGATCTCTGAGCACATTATCATACTGAGCTGGCCAGATTAGAAAGGAAAGGGAGTTTGCAACTTCTGAAGGAAAGGAGGGAAATTCAGGGAGGGCAAAAACGTGTGATCAAGAAGAGTCTCCCACAATGACAATTGTCTCTAAGTATCACTTCTGGGTACAATACATTCTTTGCTAGGAATAAATGTTGTAGTTTGGATCTGGAGTGTCCTTCAAGACTTAGGTATTAAAAGCTAGTTGCCAGTCTGTGTTGCTGATTGTGGAAACTTTGGAAGTAGGGACTGTGGTAGGTCACTGGGGCAGGCATTTGAAGGGAATATTGAGATCTTTGCTCCATCTTTTGTCACTCTTGGCTTCACAATGCTAAGAGTGAACAGCTTTATTCCTGCATTCCATCCCTTTCTTCCAATAGGCAATTGCATTGCCATGGCGTTCTTTTCCATCCCAAGCCCAGAGCATGCAGGCTAAATGCCCAGAGACTAAAATGACGAGTCCAAACAGCCTTTTTCTTCCTTAGGTTGGTTTTCTCAGGTGTTCTGTCATAGTGAGAAAGATGGGTAATAGAATTCTTTCCAAAGGAGGAAATTAACAAACACCTTCCTTTAGGCAGTTGAAGAGTAGGTAAAAAAAAAAAAATCTTTTCTTCTTGTGGATTTTGGTTACCTTTAGTTCAAATATCCCATATTCCAAAGTAGCATACATTGATGTGATATTCTGAGTCACTACAGCTCACTGAAAAAATGTTTACAGCATATCTTTAAGTACTCCCCGTCTTAAATGTTATTCTTTTCTTTGTTTCTCTGCTTCCTGCAAATCAGTCTACTTAGCATTTTATTCTTAATACCAAGTGATTCAAATGTAAATATAATTCTATTCTCAGAAAAAAAAGTTTTCTTGGGATCAAACTAAAGAAACTTTAAGCACTATATTTAATTAATAAATATTTAGATGCGTGTTGGCCCTGACACTTCAAATAAAGCACAGTGGGAATCTCTTCATGTTGTGAGGATGATTTCAGATTTTATCAACTTTGACATCTCAAAATTTCCCAAGAAGGAAGAATGTCCCAAATTAAGAATCAACAAATTCATAATCAAATATTCCCAATACAGACATAAAATGATAAAGAGCATAAGGAAGGAGAATGTAAGGAAATATGAGGCACCTGAAGAGAAAAGAATATCTTGGTCTTCTGAAGACTTCAGCTGAAAGTGGCATATTTTTAATGGTTCACAAATGTGAAAGACAGTGCGAGTATCACTGTTAATAACGGTCCAACACTAGAACATCAAAGCTAGGAAAAAGTCTGAAATGTCTAATAATTAAATTTGACATATAACTTTGCTTAAAATTTTCATGTCAGTAATGAACCTAAGAAGTTCACTCTTTGATGATGATGTCTATTTTTGGCTCAATATTAACATTGATTAATGACAAATCTGTATCAAGAATAAGAGTCTCACAGACTTTTCTTCCTGGAGCTGGCTTCAAAACTGAGATCCTAAGATCTTAGCCTCCTGAGTAGCTAGTGGCACAGTCTTGAGGATGACCATGCTGCTTTTTGTTAGTGTCCACTCCCTACCTCCCATATTTTACAATGACCATATCTCTTCCATAAGGAAAACTTCCTACCACAAAAATCGCTTTTATTTTACATGAAAGCGATGTACGTATGGATTAAAATATTACTTTCATTTGAATTATTGGGATAATTTAATGAAAATTTCCAACTAGTCTTTTTTTTTCCCATCAGTTGTTGAGCTTGGGCATGGTGCTGTCTCTCAAGTAAATGAGTAGAATCAGATCTTAGAGAACAGACACAGCAAGCCCAAGAAAAATGGCCAAGGAGAGGAAAACCAGAATCACATAACTGAAAGGCCAAGGAAGAAAAGAATTTTAGAAAAAGTTAATCACAGTATTTATATTAAATTATATAAAAGAAAAATTGATTTGGTAATGGGAAAGATAGAGATTATAGAGAGTACATTTTGAGTAGTTGAATGGGAGTGAAGCCCAAACATATTAAAAGGACAAAAAGAGTGAATGGCATTAATAGTGTTTTTTTTTAAAGTTTGCAAACCACTTGTTTTAGAAAGTGGATCATGAAGTAGAAATAGAAGAAACATTATGAATCTGGCTTATTGTTAAGGGAGACTTCGGCTTACAACTGCCCTGCCTTCTCTGCCCTCAGCCTGAAATTGGATGTAGGCATGACATGCTATACGTATTTATGAAACAAGTGACACCAAATTCTCTTTTCTTTTATCAGGATTTGAAAGAATGCACTTAATCAAGAACTTTATGAGCACACATGCTAGGACATATTATGCATGCAACTTCTGGAATGTACTTATGCATTTCCTCTCAAAGAATATATGAGAGCCAGGCAGTCTGTGACTCACACCTATAAACTCAGGTCTTTATATGTGAAAATCTAGGTTTGGAGCAAGTCAGGGAAGACAAATGAATGAGATTCTTAGTTCTAAATGACCAATAAAAATCTAGAAGTGGAGGCAGTGGCTTAAGTAATAGAGTGCTAGCCACAAGTGAGAGCTGAGGACCTAAGTTCAAATCTCAATACTCTCACATTCACGATTATATTATTAATGTGGATATTCTATGCCTCTTTAAAAATATTTCAAAAGAATGCAGAAATCAATTAGTTACCATCTATGTTTCTAAACGTCTAGGAAAGAATATACATCAAAATGTTAACACTTGCTTATTAGTGGTGAGTTGGGAATATCCATGTCTTCATACTTTTTTGTTGTTGTAGTTAGTCCTAAGGCTTGAGCTCAGCCTGGGCGCTGTCCCTCAGCTCTTCAGCTCAAGGCTAGTGTTCAACCACTTGAGCCACAGCGTCACTTCAGGTTTTCTATTGGTTTATTGGAGACAAGAGTTTCATGGACTATTCTGCCCAGTCTGGCTTTGAACTGAGATCATCAGATCTCAGCCTCCTGAGTAGCTAGATTACAGGCCTGAGCCACCGGCTCACTAGTCTTTAATTTATAATTGGTTCTGTATATTGTTCCTGAATTTTCCAGCTTGAGCCTGCCAAAACAATCAACCCTGCTGCACCAACAAACTAATCACAAAACAAAACCCAAGCACAAGACGTGAGATCGCTGGATCTCAGTCGGAGGTATCACAGACAAGAAGTAGCACGCTGCACAGGTAACGCCTTTTGGATAGAGATAAAGACCGGTTCTCTCCACTTATCTCTGGACGCTCCGGTTGCCTAGTTACTAGAGCCATCTTTCCATAGCTCCACCTCCTTCTTCCAGGACACACCCTCTTTCCATTTCAACCTCTCCGGAGGGGGCGGGGGACTAGAATCTCTCAGCCACTCAGAGGCCACCAAATTAAAGTCTTAATCGCTGATTGGAGAATAAAAATGTGGGCGGAACTTAGGGGGAGGGTCTTCCGTGCCTCGGAGAAACGTCAGCACGTCGACGCGGGGGTTTTCTCTGGCGGAGATCAGCTAACGCCTTAACTGGGTGCCAGCTCCTCCCGTCCCGCTGCCCCTGGGGCTAGAGGGCGTTCGTTACCCTCGAGCTCTCGGGTCGACGTGGTTAGCGGGGCTTGGTGCTCGCACTGGTCACCTTCACCCCCTCCTAACTTGTCCTCCGGGGCTCTGCACCTTAGGGTCGCTCAGGGGTGTGTGTGTGTTGGGGGGGGTCTCCCTGAGATCGGCCCGGGCGGGGGACCCAGGGGCCGATCCCCTCTACGGTCTCTGATGGGAGGCGACGGCGGCGGGTGGAGCGGCCTGGGATGTTCAGTCTGATGGCCAATTGCTGCAGCTGGTTCAAGCGGTGGCGGGAGCCTGTCAGGTAGGCTGGACCAGTGATCCTGGCCCGGTCCCCGGGGTGGGGAAGGCCGCGCCCCGGCGCCGGGCGCAGTCTGGACTTGGGGAGCCGGGCCCTGCGTGTACCAGGCCGCAGGGGATGCTTTCCTTCCCCTCCGCCGACTGGCCTCACCGGGGCGGGGGGGGGGAAGGGGGGCGGGGGGGTTGGAGATGAAGCCTTTGGGTCTGGTGGAAGTAAATTCTTACCAACTGTGTGTCATGTTAGGTTTTAACTAGATTTCAATTTGCTAAAAACTTATGGAGCCTATGTTTGAGATTGAAAACGATTTGTCGTGAGTTTTTCTTCCAAAACAATTGTAAGGGATTTCATTCCAACTTTCCTTCTCTCCCCGTTGTGTCTGTCTCTCACTGTCTCTGTCTCAGTCTTTCTGTCTGTGTCTGTCTCTCTCTCTCTCACACCTTTTGTTTGAGGACTTAGGTTTGAAATCTGGCTCTACTGCTAGATAATTATATGATTCAACTAAGTCCCGACCCCGTTTATCTCATATTAAATGAAGATGATAATATCTACCCCAGCCTAAATGATGACAGTGGTTGTTTTCTCCCCCTTAATCTATAATTATCTTCAACTTTCATGTAGACTCTAGTAAAAACCTAGTTGAAAGGGTCTGCTACTCAAAGATTCATGTTACAATGCTTTGTTGCTGAGAATAATAACGTATACCTGGCACTGTGTTAGGAAGAAATTCAGATGCTCTTTCTATAGAGACCCCATGAATTTGTGACTCTTTGGAAATGTTGACTTCCCCATAGTTTTGCTGTGTAATTAGGCCAAAGGTAAAAATATAGTAAATAATTGTAATTTTAGCAATCGTCATGGACTGCTCTTTAAAGAACGAATCTGAAAATGTGTTCAGGAATGAAATGTATTTGAAACGTAACTGTGTTTGGAAAATAAATTTGCATTAATTTAGGCTAATATTCCCTTTAGCACCATTTCCTTGAATTTGAATGTTTTAAATAAAAAGTGATATGAAGAAGAGCTAAAGGTATGTTTGGATATAGACCTTGAGTTATTCCTTTGAACATCCTGGTCTGAGTCAGAATCTGAAAATTTTAAAATTTGAAAATTATTAAGAATAGATGTTCCTTCTGTTTTCTTCTGAGTTGACCTTTAAAAAGGCATTTATTTTTATGAGAGCAGCAAATACAATATACTAAATACAATAAAAAAGTTTACAATCTGAAGTTTTCAATTGAATCCATCTTTCTTAATCTTCTAATACTATGGATAGGGATATTCTCTGAAAGTTGCTTTTAAGAGTTCAGAGGGGAATATTGTTTCCAAGTAGAAGAGATAATTGAATTTTATTAGTAAATCATAAAAATTCAGCCTTTTAACTTAGAATATATTGTTTTTAATAAGTAGCACCTTGATCTGTGTAGTCCAATGGGATAGCAACAAGTACATGTGTCTTTTGAGCATTTAAAATGTGGCCATTCCAGATTCAAGTGCAGTAAGTGTAAACCACACGGTATATTTTGAAGGATTTTGTAGGAAAATATCAATATATTTAAAGGTGATGTTGTGTGAAATGGCAACATATTCAAACTAGTTTCACTATCTTCCTGTTTCCTTTTTAAATTGGATTTTAGCAAATTTGATTAAGAGATTTGTATTATCTTTCTATGGACCTTGCTAATTCATATTATATTTTAATATAAAGAACACATAGATAAACATCTCTCAGTGTTGACTAGCCATGAGCTTTGAAGATTTGGAAACAAAATTGGCTTATTCCTTTGATTTAAGTATCCTTGTCCAATGCTTGGTTTATAATAATTGCTAAATAATATTCTGATCCCTTTTTACCAAAAATCATCCTTAAGTAAATTATTAAGTGGTTCTCGTTATTTTACTGGAGTAATGTGAAATAACTGAATTTTAAAAACAAAAATTTGTGCTGTTATGGTATTCTTCCCTTTTTCAAGAAAAAGTTACCTTTAAATATCATATTCATGTATTCTTTGGTACTTATAACATTTGAGTATGTAGTTTTAAAGTTCTGTTGCATATTGAGATTCTTACATGTTTTATGAAAATGTGTTTGCAAATTTGAGAATTGATGATGATTGTTAACATGCTCTCAGATTAGTTTGCTAAATTATCTAATCTATTTTACACTTTATTTTAACCAAAAGGTTGAGAAATTATCTACTATATTATATATCTACTATATTATATACTATATTATATATTATATACTATATATCTACTATATTCTACTATATTGTCTACTATATTCCTTTGTATTTACCCATCTCTCCTCACATTTCTGAATGAACGTATTATTTTACTAGCTGGACTGTGTTTGTACAATGCAGGAGTCACAGATCAAATGTTAAGGCACAGTCTAGGTTAGGAGTCAGGACTAAGGTGTTGTACTACTCAGGAAGCCAGCCAATTTTCAGATCATACTTTGTATTAACTACAAGTCAGGACATGAACCTTGGATTTTAAGCTGTGTTTAAATCTTGAATACCCTAGAATTCTAGACCCACAGGCATTTCTTCAATAGAATCAGTGCAGTATATAATGATGTATTTTGTTAAGATTTTGTTAAGACATACATAGTATAGCTATCAAGAATAAAATTTTAACTTAAGTAACTCATTATTTATTAAACTGTACATTGTATAGTCCGAGTTTGATAGTTTCCTGACTAATGTTCCCCCCTTTTTTCGGCCCAAGATTGAGTGTATAAGATCACGCACTGCATTTTCCATGTATCTTATTCTCCCCCAAACTGTTATAGATTGAGGGAGAATCTACAAAAATAAGTCTTTCATTGTATTTTATAACTTTGAAACTTTGAGTAGTACAGACTAGTTCTCTGTATAATACCTCTCCATTTGTTTTTCTTTTGTTTCTTTTGATTTAATTAACATATTTGAATTTTTGGGAGAATACTACAGAGGCAACATCCCCTTTACAATACATTCATAACATTGATGCACTTACTCCTAGTAAAGTTAACCTTGATCACTTGGTAAAGGTGGTGTTTGCTTGGCTTCCCAATGTAGTGTTGGAATCAAATAGATTTGTGACTGATCCTCAGAGTTCTAGCTTCTTTTCTTCTGTCTGGTTGTTCACAATTTCTATCTTTCAGCATTTTGAAAGAAAAAATGTATCTAAGTATTTGATACATGCTGTGTAGAAGTCACTCAGGAAGGGGACTTGATTCTGAGAGACAAGCATGGATAAATGATTTACTGTCTTTAATTGACGTTTTATATTTAGTACTATGTAAACCTTTCTTTTTTAGTGAATATTTATTTATATATATTAGAAAAACATATATATGTTTTATATATAACATGTATATGTGTGTGTATGTATATATGTGTGTGTGTGTGTTTTATTTGGTGTCTTAGGAAAACAGACATTTTATTCCTTTCTACTGCTGAAGGCTAGAATCTGTAGTCAGTAGCATTTGTCAACTGGGCTGCCTCTAGAGTCTCTTGTGGACAATTTATTCACCAAGACTACTTCTTAGGCCTATGTTCTGTGTTCTGTGCCATTTTTTCATTGTTCACTATTCAGCCACCTCTGAAGTTTGAAAATTAATATATAGCTGAAATCAGATCACAGCAAGAACTTCTTGAATATAAGAATAAAAATTGTACTCTAAAATGTATTACTAACTTTTGCTATCAGAAATACAAGTGCTTTTTTTCCTTCTCAGTCTTTAGAGCTTCTCTTTTATTCTTTTGTATGTAGACTCAAGTATCACTTAAGTAATACTGAATGTATCAGTTTCCTATTGCTGCATCACTATAAACTTGGTGACTTAAAACAATACAAATTGTATTATATTGTAGTTATGAAGTCAGATACCTAAAATATGTCTGCAGGTTTATATACTTTTGGAAACTTTAGGGGGAAAAAATATCTACTTTTCTTTGCCCTTTGCAGGCAAAGAAAATAACTTGAGTTATTTAGCTCTTGGCTTTCTGAGCTCCTTCCTCCTTCTTCGATGGATCCTTGTGATTACATTGAACCCATTTGGAGAATCCAAGATAACCTTCCAATCTCAAATTCCTCAATCATGTATATAAAATTCCCTTTGCTGTGTTAGGTGATGAATGCACTGGTTAGAGACTAGAGAATGGATGTGTCTCACAGACCATTTTTCTGTCTACCATACTTGATAACCCTTTGACTCTGAAGGCATACCACTCTTTCTTCTTCCCTTCACGTAGTAGCCCCAGTTCACGTTAAATTATGGGCATTGTCACAATTTTCCCTTCACTCTTATACATTAAAATTCTTTTTGTCTTAACCTTTTAGGTTAACTGTCTTCTTATATTAGTTGTTTGGTTAGTTGTTGGTATAAGGTTTAAACTCTAGGCCACATAATTACTCTACCATTTAAGCCACAATCCGAGCCCCTTGTGTCCAGTAGGTTCTTAGATTTCTTGCCTGGGCTGGTTTGGACCATGATCTTCCTCCTTAAACTTCCCTTATGGGGTAGGCAGGGATAGATAGCTGGGGTGAAAATGTTGGTGTGTGGTCTCATTGGGACAAAGACTTAGAGGTTGCTTCACTTGGAATTGAAGGTATCCCACAAGGAAGTTAAAGCATTTAACTTAACATTTCTTTCTTCGTTTTTCATCTGTCTCACAAAGTCAAATTCCTGTAGGATGGGAGGTGGTTAGAAGAATGAATGGTAATTTTATATGGGTCTGAAGAAATTCATACATCATAAGCTTTCCCTTATCATGATTTCAGGAATAGCTCACTTAAGGAAAAAAGTTACAACAATTTATTATCATATATTTGTATGTGTGTAATATGCCCATGTGCCCGTTACCTGAGTTTTCACACATATTAACCTTTAATATCACATTTTAGTTTTATTTTAAAGGAATCTGGTAACAAAGCATTAAAGTATCATATACCTATTTTTCTAACACTATCCTTCCCAGAGATAACAAACATTTGAACTAATTTCTTGCTCATTT